ATATACTATGCATTAATTTACAGTATTTCTATTTGTCACATAAGTATGAATTCAAAAAACGAATACCTCTTGTAATTTTCAAAATGTGTCTGTGTTTTTGTCTCCATGATTTCAGTAGATGTCATCAGTATAACAGACGAAATCATCTGAAGGTGTGCATGAAAATCAGAGAGTAAATTTTGGGCTTTCAGCAAATACCTCAAATTCAGTGGCTGAGTCATTAGAAATATTTTTCTGTTCCTCTCCTTCTTGTAACCCATCTCCTTATCTCCAAAGGGGTTGTCCTAATGTACTAAAGAATATGCTTATTAAGTGTTTTAAATTTGATATTTAGAGCATGCTTATCAAAATTCTGACAACTGAATTTGGCTTCCACCATAAACATTAGTAAAGGTACAACTTATTCTAAAAGCAAAAAGCTGGAGAAAAAAAAAAAAAAAAGCAATATTTATAAGTGATGATGGAAAGTGTCTTATGTTATGCTGTGATTTATATAATTTCAGCAGCTGATGATCAAGTTAAGACTATTTTATGTCAATATATGAATATAAACAAGCTCCCTTTTAAAGGGCTACTTTTACAAAGAAGTCTAAGACATGAAAATTTGCCAGCTCAACCTTACCTTTAAACCCTTGTGAAACTGCCAGTTTCTGTCACTTCTGTCTGGTGAATATATACATTTTGCTTATGAAATATTGGTGGGGCTTACAGATAGATATCTCTGCAAAGCTTGCTTAATACAGAAGGACAACATCTCCATTCCATTTTATTTAAGTTTGCCTCTTTAATGGCTACAAGTATTTCTTGGTAGGAGTAAAATATTGCTTAGAATATGTCTCAACTGGACTAGCCTTCCTCCTCTCAAAGGAGTAATTGGATCGCTCCTACCACTTGAAGTGATTAATAAAACATGTATCTGACAAGTGAATGAAGTCAACTGATCCCCCTGAATAGATAAAAGCTTTTAAGCACCAAATTCTGAAAACTTTAGGAAACCCTCAAAAAACAACCAATCTTTTTGACACCTCAATTTGAAATGAGATTCCTGAAGTGTATGACAATTAACTATAATGAATGTTCTTTCCGAGTCTGATACAGAGCACTTTTTTTTTTTTTTTCCCTTCCCTTACAATGTTTAACTGCAGGTAAATATACCAACCTGACATTTGCCTGCAATTATCATGGATCCATATTGAGTTCTTCACTCTCTAAAGAGAATTTGAATGACTGCAGCATCTTCATAGGGTAACATATCTTGTTTTCATTAATCTTTGTAGTGAATTTCACTGCTAGCCACCCCTGACCATAATCTAGCTCTCATAACATCTGAACTACTGTTGTCTTTTCTGACTTCTGGCTTCCTTTGGAAGCTCGCATAACTTTTTCTATGAAATAATAAATAATAATAATAATAATAAAAAAGTCCTGACTGAATTTACCAACAGTAATCATTATTAAATAATAAAGTGATTTAAGGTCCTCAGATAATAGGTCCTAGCTGTATGCAAAGTTACTATTTTATGTCCTTTATTACAGTGTTACCTAATAAACTGGGTAAAAAAAAGAAAAAAAAATCTGAATATTATCAGATATAAACCACCATCTGGTCTCTAAGTAAGTGTATATCCTTACTGTAAATGAAGTCAAGATTGATGTCATACTCTCAAATTATAAAATGGTCATGGGGAGAGAACAGGAAAAGATTTGTCCAAACAGCAGTTAGCAATTCTTTATATTCTCCTCTGCCCAGACATGCTCAGAATTTTGAATCATGGAAATAACTTTTTAAATTACTGAAAAGTCAGACTAACTTTGTGGCAAAGGTTGTTATTTAATCCTTGTGATTCAATAAGTGTTTATTCTGAAAGAACAAATAAAAATGCTAGTGGAATTATAATTGTCAAGGGAAACATCTTGTTTTAGTAGTAGTAGTATTTTTTAAAGTGTCTTGGAATTTCTGTTAGGTGGTTGTCCATAGTGCTTGTTGATGATTTTACAATTTTACTTGAAGGGTGAAATAGAGGACAACTATTTCTAATCAAGGATACTTAGAAATATAACAAACCTGACAAAATGCAGACATGAATGAAACAAGCTATGTAATAAAGGTATTACACGCTTGTATAGGTGGAGGGTTACATTTTTAGAAAGGAATTAAAGCTTAGTAGTACTCATTGTCAATGAATGTCAATCACCATCTGAGTGCCAGCAGTTTCAGGAAGCATGCTTCCATTCTTCAACCATAGACATTGATTTGAAGGTCACTAATAACTTCCTCTCTCCTTTTAACATAAAGCAAAAAAAAAAAAAAAAAAAAAAAAAAGCTAAATCCCAAATAAGAACTGTTGACTTCTACTTTAACAAAGAGAAAATGCAAGGTTTACAGAAGCAACCTGATATGTGGTAGAATTGGCTGTTTTATTTATTAATAAAGTAAACTACAGACTGGGCATGATTTGGATTTCTCAGTTTCCTAGTTGAAGGAAATAGGAAGTAAATCATAGTTATTCTGTACCTCACTTCAAGAAGTTGAGGATAATAGGTTAAAGATGGTGAACTGCTCAGGTGGTGAACTGCTCAAGCTGTACAAGTACCACAGAGAGAAAACACTCTCTATTTCTGAGCAACAGTTTCAGCACAGTTTTCACACGCTGAGACATTTCTTACTAACAAGTTGTGACAAGACCCCAATTTGGCCTGATTCTTGAAGTGGAACAATCTGTGTCTTTTCCTTAAAGTGAGAATGCTGAAAACCACCAAAGGCTTTCCAATTATTAAAGCTCTGTCTTATTAGAGTGCAAGGAACAAGGAAACTTTTGAAACATAGAGAAGTCAGATTTGCTGGGTTAGACACATTAAAATAAAAAGGTCTGACATTTTCTTTCTCTCCAACCCCTCCTTCTTGTATTCTTCTAGGGTGGGATCTTTCCTCAAGCCCTTATCTCAGTCTAACAGTTTCCAATAACTGTTTTTATTTATTTATTTATTTTTTCCTGTTCCATGAAGATGATTACATTGTTGCACCCTACTGTTTTTGATAAGCTTTACATCTTCTTTTGGCAATAAGATTCCTCTCCTGCTGTCTAGAAGGCTTCTCCCAGCTGACCATGCTCAGTGACTTGCATGGATGGCTCCATTTTTCCTTCCCACAGTTGTGTGGCTCTCACTGATCTAGAAAAAGCAGTGAGCAGGCGGCTTTCATGATCAACAGAACATTTAAAAATAAAATATACAGCTTTCAGGCCCCATCACATGCACTAGATATGTCACCGTAACTGTCGTATTACTTCACCTTGACTCTTGAATCAGCCAATGTTAGCAGTACTGAGCTTATTGAAAGCAAGATTGGATGTAGCTGCACACAGAAATTTCTGGAGCTTCAAATAGCCCAGAATGAACATGTCAAATCAGGCAGTGCATATCTAGTGACTATGCAGCTTATTTATTAATTCCTTCTGTAAACATTGCAGACAAGTAATCATCCTGTACTGAGGTAGAGGTTGTCTCTCCTGAAAAACCTAGTATGGGATCATGTATTGTACTGCAATGTGTTTATGTATGAGACCATGAGGAGTGGAACAACTGTAGTGGTGGCAGTTTTTCCTAACTGGTGAGATCTTGGTTTGTAAACTGCATGATTTCATAAGATTTTTTCCTGTCAATACTACTGTATGTACTCAGATTGTATCTTCTATGCATGTACATGTGGAGGCTGTAGCAAGGTGGGGGTTGGTCTATTCTCCCATGTGCCTGGTGAAATGATGAGGGGGAATGGGCTAAAGTTGCACCAGGGGAGGTTTAGGTTGGATATTAGGAAAAACTTCTTTACTGAAAGGGCTGTTAGGCATTGGAATGGGCTGCCCAGGGAAGTGGTTGAGTCACCATCCCTGGGGGTCTTTAAAATATGTTTAGATGTAGAGCTTAGTGATATGGTTTAGTGGAGGACTGGTTAGTGTTAGGTCAGAGGTTGGACTGGGTAATCTTGGAGGTCTCTTCCAACCTAGACTATTCTGTGATTCTGAGTAGCTGAGATTTTTGGCACCATATAAGTGAATCAAAAACGTGGATGCAGGGTTTATAGGTGAGCATGGAAGAAAGAAGGAGGCATTACAAGGCAAAGTAAGCTGCCTAGAGTGGCACATAAGGCTGGAGACTATATATATCTACTATAAGAACCGTTACCCTTTGTCACATTCAGGACAATTAATTTTGGAGAGAAAATACACCTAGAATATTACTAGCTTAGCTATGTCAGTCATAAGCATGTGTATATTTATTATTATTATTTAGTTATTTAAGTCCCAATAAATCTGAAATTTCAAAAAGTTTAGTCTATCTTTTTAAAGGAGTGATTTTGTGGGTGAAATTTTTCACTTGGTGAAGCTGTGTAACTTCAACAACAAAATGGGGATCTTGCAGATTCACCCTTACTGATAAAGCGCTTTACCTGATGAGTATGTTAGTTATTAGTTCTAGGGGCAAGAACTACCTTGGCACTGATTGTTTATTATGACACAATGGGTTCCTGAATATTACATAAAGTCTGTAGGATAAATGATTGCAGTGGAGGAATAAAGAAACAAAAGTAGTCTTCTGTAGCCTAGATGATGCTTCCTAGGAAAAATCTGTTGTGCTATAAAAAAATAAAATAACAGTTCTCATCCTTTCTAGTATGCATTGATCATCCACGACACTGCAGTTGTTCATGATCTAGTTACACAGATTTCCAGAAAATGACACCTTTCTTAAGAAGTAATTTTGTTAGATATTAATGGTATATTATATTAAAAACTCATACTAATATGATATTTAATGCATGGATATATTGTTTTATGTATGCATTCATTGATATGGGAATAAAATTTGTTATTTGTGATAGGAGGGGAGGATATGTTTGTTCTCAGAGCAGGAACAGTTTGGTAGACCAGACTCTCAGAAGCATGAACAGAACCATGGACAGAATTTATGTGTGTTTGTTTTTTTTTTTTTTTTATCCCAAGAATGAAGGTTGTGGCTGATTCATTCCTGCACAGAAATGAGTGAGGAACATAAGAAAAAAGATCAAAAACTTGTGGGTCGACCTGGAAGAAAGAGCAGGTTTGTTCTCTTGTTTGTATAGAAGTGATTGCTGACTTACATTTTATATTTTTTTTTTACTTTTTTAAATTTTTTTTTTAATGCTGTGATATAAGCAAAACAGAAAGAGGATAACAACTAAGCCTAATTTTTCTGTGTTTAAAGTGATCCTAGGTGACTTAAATCTGAATTCAGAGCAGCAGAAGCTTTAAAATTGTGCTGTGCCATAACCATAGTATGTTTCATATATTATACATAGATGCACACACACACTAACTTTTAATTACACCTACACCCTTCCTCTCCACCCATCATGCCCCAGAGTTTCAAAGTTTTAACTTACTGTGTGCCAAATCATTGTGATAGAATCATTCTACATAGACATATAACCTACGGGGCAATAGGTTCATGACCCATGATCAATGTTGATCCTTCTCAGTTTGCACAGTTATTTAATTCTCCTACTCTCCTCTTGCTGGAACAAGAACATAAATTATCAAAAGAGGACTAGGTCTATGCATTAGGCATATGATTTACCGTTAAAATTCTTGGTTTCCCTTCGCTATGGGAGGTTGGTAACTGACGGTTTTCCATCCAGTTGGGCTGTGAGTTCCAGTGAACAGGGGATCTCTACCAGCAGCTGAATATTCATACTATTCCATTTTGCCTTTAATGGGTGTTAAGAAGAATTTCTAGTGTCCGGAGGCACTAAGGTAAGTATGAAAGGTCCTCCTATTCTACCTTAATCTTTTGATCCCAAACCAAGTAGAAATGCAAGTTGCCTATATTTCAAATGAAATATTTTCTGGCTTGCCCACCATTTCAAGCCCTCATGATTGCATGGTGAATGGTCAGAGTATGAAAGATCCTGGCCTCACTTGATCCTCTCTGCTGATTTACAGGCTCTACATTTAGTTCCTGTTAGAGGAGTTAAACGTGGGGAAGCTACTGGATAGTACTGTTCTATGTGCATTTCAAAATAATTGGATACCCCACCAATTTTTAAAACAGTATCATGGTGTGGCTTTACAATTGAGATACTTCCTCAGACTCTCAAAAATAAATGCAAAATAAACAAAATAAAACAACTAAAGATAATTTATTACTTCAATTTCTTGTTGGACACCAACTATTATAACATGATCTTAGATACTGGGAAACTTTGTGTAGTTTGATTTACCTTTAGTCCACATATACTGGATATAAAGGCTGAGTAATTGTAAAGCAATATGTTGAGTGTGCAGAGTGTTTTCCTGTGCTGATAATCTAGGTATGTGCTATGGGAATTCACTCAAAAAAAAATGCTACAAATGAACAATATAAAAATGACTATGTTTTCATATAAATTGCAATTACAACTATGTAATAAAGCTATTTCAAGTATTATTTCCTTTTGTAAAAATGAATTCCCAATTAGACACCAAGCATGGTGGTTTGTTAATGAAATCTTTGCTAAAAGGTACATGCAGTTCTCAGGGCTTGAGTAGAGAAGAGAAGGTATCAGGCTGTCCAGAGCTGCTGGCCCCTTTGCACCTGTTGGCAATTTCAGCAGGGACACCAATTACAAAATAAACCTCTCACCCCTAGATGTCTCCCAAGGTCAGACTTAAGAAATGATAGCAAAAAGTTTTAATCTGACATTAACCATTCTTACTTATTTTATAGAAGAACATTATCATCAACTACTATTAGATGTTTGAGATAAACTATTTATTTATTTATTTATTTGCTTGGTTATTTATTTATTTATTGTCCAAAGACATTGTGAGGCTAATCTGTAGTCTCTGCTTTTCAGAAAACATTACATTTTAAACTTGGGATCCTTTCCTTTTCTATGTAGTATAATTAGTTGTGCTTTATCTGTTGAGGCTTTGTTTCCAGTGAATTGTTAAGATTCCTGATTTCAAGTCTAAACAAGAAGCATCTTTCAATTTCATTTTCTGCAAGAGGGACATGTAGTCTGATAGTATATTAATATAAAACAAAAAATGCCACTGAGAACAGTAAAAATCATAGTTTCTTGGTATGTATGAAGAATGTTAAGAATCAACATTAAATCAGAAATTAGAAAAGTGAGAAAAAGTGCTTAATTCTGGAAAAGGCTCAGATGCATTCATCAGTGTAAGAACCTGAAGACAGTAGAAAAACTGATATTCTGATGTTTTTCCAAACAGCAGGTGGGAGAGGGAGGCACAACTTGTATTTGTTTCTAGAAAGATTGATTGTTTGATGGCAAGTTGCAGAAGAGTAAAGCTTAAGAAAAGTGTTAGAAGGTAAAAAAAAATAAAAATAAAAAAGCAATAATACTCTTGTCTGTTACAGTGATTCAAATAATCCAGAAACTCATATACCTTTCAATATTTAACTACAAAAAAAAAAAAAGGAAAAAAAAAAAAAGCATTCAAAAATGCATCTGCTGAATTAACTCCATAGTCAGATCTGAAACAAATTTAATTTCATATTCTGAATTGCTCTTCACTTGCAGCGGGTTTAAATACATGGTTCTGCTTCATTAAGTGAGACCCATCACCTAGCTTATATATTCAATTTATCTTTTCCTGTAGCACTAACAATCAAATTTTCAAATGTAGGAAAGAAGAACACACAACAAAAACACACAAAAAATTGTTATATTTTTCAAAGATTTTTTTTTTGTTGTTGTTAGTTGGTTTTTAAAGTGTGTGTGGAACCTTGATATTTTAGCCTAGCTTTCCAATCAATAGCTTAACAGAAACTGCTGCAGCCCTGAGGTCCCGAAGTGAGAGTTGGCATTTAACTAATCTAATCAGCTGAGAACATTTAGATCCATGGAGTTGAAGCTATCATACTTACTGAAAAACAGGATATATAGTTGAAACAAGAGACACATCCATCATCAAGAGCTGTTTCTAAGGTAGGGCTTTGGATCTTACATTTACCATGTAAAGCAATATTGGTGGTTTGTTAATAAAATCTTTGCTAAAAGGTACATGCAGTTCTCAGGGCTTGAGTAGAGAAGAGAAGGTATCAGGCTGTCCAGGGCTGCTGGCCCCTCTGCACCTGCTTTACATGGTAAACTTTGCTGCTAAATAAAGACAGATTTATTCTATCATGAATTTTGCTTATTGAGTGTTTATCTGTAAGATGAAGAAAACTTTTTTTTTCTTTTTTTTTTTTTGGGGGGGGTGGGGGTGGGGAAGGTGAGGGGAGGACCTTTTACTTCATTTCAGAGCTTTCCTGGCAGCAGGAGAGTACATTATTATTCCTGTCTTAAACACAACTGGGGTTTTAAGGATTATAGGTAGAGTGTTTCTTTCCACATCATAAGAAGTTTTTGGTGATTAATTTTGATTTTATACTGTGGGCAGAATAAGGCAGTCTTTCATTTTATTTCTCTCTGTTCCCTTTTCAACCTTGGGCGGGGGTGAAAGGAGTGGAGAGAAAAATGAAATGGTTGTATCTCAGTCAGTCTTTCTTTCCAATGACCAGATAACTTCAGAAGAAAACTTTTTTTTTTTTTAATTTAAAAAAGTTCTTTTTTTAAAAAAGAAAAAAAAAGAAAAAAAGAAAAAAAGAAGCTTCCTTTAATGGTACATCAGGTGAAGCTACAAACCTTTCAGATTTTAATCTTACTCTAGGAAGACCAACATTAGGATCTCAGCATTAGTGTCCTTTTAGTATTGAACTGAAACCATTTTGTAGTTTCTGCAGTTCACCTTTCTTCTTCCTGTTGCTTTTCTGTGTTAGGGATCTAGGAGTTTGCAGCTGAGGAATCTTTTTTTCTTCTTGTAGCTACAGTTTACAAAAATGTACAGTTCAGTGTTGTAAGGTTTCAGATTGTGGCTTCTTCCCTTTGTGCAGCCAGATGGTGTTTATCATCAGGCTTATAATTTTCCATTGATTGGTAAAAACTGTATGGTGTTTTATGCAATTCCTTTTAAATAGATATCCTACAATATCCATTTTTCCATTTCTAAATCCTACATTTAGAACATTTCTAATCCTACATTTATCCATTTCTAAACATTACTGTTTAGAAATGGTGCATTCTGGATTAAAAATAGTGGTCAGTCATAAATCCTAGTATAAGAATGTTAATAAGTATGCCAGTTATAAACTAGTATTGACAAATAGCAAATTGCAAAACCTATTTTTTTTAGGAAGCAATATAAAGGTTCCCAATATAAGAGCTGTTTTGTGAAAATGTTACATAATACCAAAGTTTTCTCAATGAATATTAAGTGGATTATTGTGTCTTTTGCCTTTTGCACAGTGTAAATAGTTAAAAAAAAAAAAAAAAAAAAAAAAAAAAGTAATTCATTGAAATTGATCAATATCCCAAAAGAAATGCAAATGCTTGTACAGCTCACCTGTATGGGTAGGGGGTATTATTGTGTTTTTACACAATATATGTTTTATAGGGAGTTGTTATTGTGTTTTTATTTGATTTGGTTTTAAGGATAGTCACGAGGATATTCTGGAAGTTCTCAGGTCTGACATTAATCCAGATTTGTTCAGTTCTAATTTTTGTGGCCATTCTCTATTTAATTTACCACATTAAAGATGTAAAATTTTTTTAGAAGTTTGTTATCTAGACTGCACTGTGATATTGTACTACATCTCCCTCTTTACACTAAATTAATGAAGGGAAGTATTAACTGAAAAAGAGTATAAGTATTGAAATAGTCTTTCTTTTTTTTTTTTTCTTTTATCCAAAGTATATTTCTTGTGCAGTTGCATATAAGATATGTCCATCTGTATGTAATTTTCTTATTTACTTAGCTTAAATCCACTAGATTTATGAGCAAGCAGAGTTAACGTTTTTCATTAAGCTGCTCTTCTCAGGAAAGAGCAATGTAAGTTTAACAAAATTCCTTTTACATCTCAAAAGTGTTTTTTTTTTTTTTTTTTTTTTTTTACTTTATGTATGTTTTATTACTAAATATCAGTTAACATTTTTCTGTGCACAAAACAGATATGTGCAAAGTCACACAGGATCTTTCAATGTAGACTTGGTTCTTTAGTTCTCTTTCAAACATCATTTAACACTCTCCTATTGTGTTTTGTTGCTTAGAGTCAATAATTACTCTGTTGTCCTCCTTTGTGGCTTATGAAAATATAACATTCCAAAAAATATTGGTCTACACATTGGTTATAATTTTCTGGTTAGTTACCAGCCTGGTTAGAAGAATGGACATATAATGAAATTATCCTTCTCCTGTTATAGCATGCCAATTAGAGGTATTATTTTATGATCAATTGTATGATTTTAAACGATAGACTTAGACTGCTTTTGCCTTTTGTTCCCTGTTGAAAGCACGATAGTCTATGTGACTTATAAGCTTTTTCATTTAGTGCTACTACATTTGAAAATATTATAGGTCAATACGAGTTTTACCTGTGCTTCCCCAAAGTTAGAGTATTGATGGGGTCAAAAGTGGAAACCTGTCACTTTAACCATTTCTGAGGTGCAGGTGAGGATTTTTGTCTATCAACAGAAAAGTCATATCTTCTGTCAGCTATTGCTCATCAGCATTTTGTTTCCATGTGTTGACAGGTGTAAATATCAAATAATATTTTTCCCTGGTCTCTTTAGTATCTTTTGTGCTTTGTGACAGATCCAGTACTGTTTCTTTCAACAGTTCCTGGAACTGTTATCAGAAAACATTTATCCCATCTAGCTTTGCCAACATTGTTCTGTTTACTGGTACTTTGTGGGGATATATGTCACCCAAAAGGCTCAACGGGGCTTTCCAAAAAGTTTTTTGTTTTTTTTTTTTTTTTGATATCATTATTATATTTGTGTAAAGTAAAAGCTTTTTTTTTCTTTTTTTTTAAAAATATGAAAACATCATAGACATCTTGTGTAGCTTAACATAGTCATTAAGAATACATAAAAATGTATTATATATGTAATCATAATTACTGAACATATCTACAATATATTTTAGTTCATATCTCTATTAACCCATCAGTCTTCTTCCCCATTTTCTTTGGCAGGTGGGGTGTTGTTCTGAGTCTGAGTTTTGTGTTTGTTTTGGTTTAGTTTGACTTTATTATTATTATTATTGTTGTTATTATTATTATTATTACTGTTATTATTTTATTGCTTGCAATGGCAATCTTTTGAGTCCACATGGTTTTTGAGGGGTGGTGTTTTGTCTTTCTGTCTGTCTGTCCTCTCTCTCCTTCTTTCCTAGAAGGCTCAGTTGATCCTTGCAAGGAAACCTCAATACCATTGTTATATATCAGGAACTAATTTTGATTAATTGATTACTTCAAGAGGTTATTTTTTCATTTAAAATGTTCTGTGTTATTCATTAGGTGAATATTGATCGTTAGGTGATTTCACAAACGATCTCAAAACCAAATTTATTTTGTAAGTTCTGGTGTAGGTTAATATCCACTTGTGCTGATTTCAGCTAGGATAATTTTCCTCCTAGTAGCTTGTAGGGTGTTATGTTTTGGATTTAGGATGAGAATAATGTTGATAACTCACTGATGTTTTAATTGTTGCAGAGCAGTGTTTATACTAAGCCAAGGACTTTGAGCTTCTCACTCTGTCTTGCCAGAAGGCAGGTTAGGGGTGCAGCAGTAACTAGGAGACCCAGGAGATCTGACCCAAACTGGCCAAAGGCATATTCCACACCATCTGGCATCATGCTGAACAATTCATATGGTGTGGCTGGTTGGCGTGGGGGGGTGGCTGCTCGAGGATAGGCTGGTCACTTGTCAGCAGGTGGTGATCAATTGCATTGTGCATCATTTGTTTTGTACACATTATTATTAGTAGTACTATTATTATTATTATTATTTTATTTTCTGTCCTAGTAAAGTGTCTCTGTCTCAACCCACAGGCTTCATTTTCCTGATTCTCTCCCCCATCCCAGAGAGGAGGGTGAACAAACAGCTGTGTGGCGCTTAGCTGCGGGCCAGGTTAAACCACACCACCATTCAACGACTAGAGGCAGTTTTATATCTTCTCTACAGCAGTTAATCAAAAATGCTTCAATTTGTTTCCTCTTTCTCCTCAGTCCCAAACCATGCAGCATTTTTTGTCATCTTTTACAGGAATATAACAGTATGATTACTAAGTCTTACTTGAAGACAATTCACACAGCAACAAAACGATAGGAGTTTTAAACTTTGAATATGCACTGCACTGACTCCAAAAGAGCTGCTGATAAACAGTTATTTAGCTTGCATATTTGAAATATTATCACTAAATTTTTAACTGAGAGCTTTGTATTTGTGTGTACTGTGTTCCAATATTTAGGATGGAAGATGCTTGAACAGCTGATCCTGGTAGTTTTTTATTGTTAAA